ATATATATATATATATATATATATATATATATATATATGCTGCTTAAACTTTTAAATTGTTGCTTTGACTCTAGATTTGAACACATTTAAATTGGCCTCTTGCCACTATCATTTCCATTTCAAGAGAGGCAGAAAAAAGTAACAGAAAAGTGTTTGTCCCTGTTTACTAAAGCTTTTTAAGAGACCTGACTTAAAGAATGAATGTTACAAGAACAATTCTTGGGCTTTTTAAAATCTATATTTGCATAATACTTATACTGACCTGTGATCCCAGAGGTCACTACTTTAGAGATTTTCTAAAAACAAAAAAGAACATTTCCTTCCTAAATGTGAGCCTAAAGCTCCACCTTACACTGCAGCCCTTTAACAGGAAAAGGTCTGGCAGAGTTACTACAGCTTAGTTACAGCTCGGTGATCTCAGAGCAGACGCTGACCTCAAAGGCAAATTAAAAGGGAGTGCAGTACAGAAAGTAATAATAATAAAGTTGAGTGAATTAGTGAAAAGGCTATGCACTACGAAAAACATTCAAGGAGGTGATTAAACTCATTTCTGTGGTAGATGTTCCAGTACAAAAAAAGTCTGCTACAGATATTTGCATTTATTGCATCAGGATTAAGAGAACTCTCCAGGCTATTAAAATTCTGCTCATTCCTGTCAGTCTAATCTCATGTAGACCTCTTATAACCAGTGAAAATCCAAAGACCCCCATTCAGTCCCTGGAAGTTAGCCACAGCTTGGCCTTCATGACAGCAGAATAAATTCTGATATCTTGAGAGGAGAAATGTACCAATGGTGACTTGCCAACAACCATTTGTCTTCCTAAAACAGTTTATTGAAAGGTAGATAAACAAAGAAATTATTTTCATCAACTCTTTGAAATAAACGTCCATACCACTTTCTTCTACAATAAAAATATTCCTTGATAAATGTCGACATTGCTGAATATAGACACATTTACATTATATCCTAAATTGGCATTCGCATCTATATTTGTCTCTT